AATTTCTTAGTTTACCCTTATTTAATTGTCAATAACTAGTAGTAAATTATTATTGAAAATAGTAAAAAAAATAATAGTATATTAGTAAATGAACAAAACAAAACATTCTTAGTAAAGAAACAATATTATATGATTTGGATAAGAAAATAAGAAAAGTAAGCCTATATAAATGGAATAGAGAGAATACTAACTTGTGTGGAAAGCTGTAGGGCAAGTGAGACATTGTATTCCAAGCTTAAGTTAAAGAGCATGAGCACGAGAGAGAGTTCATGACGTTCTCCTATTGGCTCTTTAATCAATCATTTATTGTCCTTCTTGCTTGGTCCTGTAAAACGTGTGAATGAAAAGTATATTTGACCACCTTAAGCTATAATTTAAACTTTGCGAATGTATCAAATATGCCATGTTACTAATAAATTTGCTGTGCATATGAGATGGTGCTTTCCAATTTCACCTTAATTAACAATGGTTTGAGTTTACTCACCAACAACCTAAAATGAGACGAAATTACATACCATGATAGGAGTCAACACAAAAAGCTCAAGATCAACTATAGTTGTAACGACAATAATAAAATTGACAACTACAAAGCTCGACCAACATTCGATTTTACTCATTGCATACCTTATAAATCTCATTTGAGATTTGCTTAGTAGATCGTTTAAATATGACATACAATCTCCATTATCCTTGATTGAAAATCACTTTCCCTGATACTCAATTTTCAATCACATTCTTAAAAAAATAAAATCACTAAATATATGTGTGTATCTGGAAAATTCTTGTTGAATGGAGATTCACTAGTATCTTAGATATTATAAGTCGGTCAAACAGTTGGGTACAATGTATTTTAATCCTAATTAAGAACGTTAACAAGCATGTTCCTGGATTTATAGTATTGATTAAGATTACCAGGTTGTCTGTCTAAGCAATATATACTCTCATATCATGTGATTACATTCTTGGAAGTCCAAAATGAACATGCACTAATCTTCAGTCACAAATTAATCCGAATACTTAATTTTGACTCTCAGATTAGAGTCATCGCCGCGTTGGATCTGTTCACACTGCAAGAACCTAAAGATGATTCAGAAACCACCTTAAGTTAGCTTCAAGAATGCATAAGCCTTTGCTATATATATGTATAGAATCGAGCTCCTTTGTCCGACCACCATTACTACTGAGTTCATTAATCTAACTTCAATAGATCCCATTCCATTATTTCCTTGGTCAGGTGCAGGCAGACAGCTGAAGATGCAGGTTAATTATTTTCTATAGTTAAGTAAGACATGTTTTAGCTATAACTTTGGTTTTAATTTGGTTGAATTTTGATGCTGGCTGCAGCAGAGAATTATTATAAAGGTGCAACTTAAATGCAACAAATGCAGATCCAAGGCCATGAGTATTGCAGCCACGACTTCGGGTATATATGTGCAGAAATAGTATATATGATACTGAAATTATAATTATTATTTTCTCTTGTTAGATAAGTTATTTTCTTCTTTAATAAAACTAAATTATTATTAATATTATTTTCTCTTGGTAGTTAGGATAATTTTTTTTATCTGCTATTCTCTTATAAGGTCTATAAACAAGAAAGTCAAGCTAGAGCTAGGCTATAGTTCTTCGTGTGTATATATCGATGTAACGACAGCAATCTTAGCTAAATATGTATTAAGATTTTAAACTATTCGAACATATATATAGCCTTGTTTGGTGAAGAATAATTTCATACTTTTAGTATATTTTGATAGAAGTTGATAAAATGTATGATCGAAACATTGTGAAACATATGAAATATGATTAAAATAAATTATAGTCTTCGACTTAGATAAAAATCAAGATTTTAATCCGTACCAATTACCAAGGCATAGTAATAGGATAGAATGTGAAAAAATTTGGTTGTGTTGTAGGTGTGGTTTCAGTGGCATTAGAAGGGGAGGAGAAAGACCAAGTGGTGGTGATCGGAGACGGAGTAGATGCAGCCGGAATGACTAGCTTGCTGAGAAAGAAAGTCGGCTATGCCAGCCTAGAACTTGTGCATGATGTTTAATCTAACAAACTTGCATATCAAGTAATTACGGGAATTATATATTTAATTTATATATATTTATGCAAAATAATTACTTTTATTTTATTATCATTCTATCTCCGAAAAATCCGTCATTGATATCAATAATTTTCGATTGAAGTTCAGATGCATTAGTTCAAGTCATTGATGGAAACGACTCTCCCATCATAGAATATTAACAGTGTTCAAAATGGAAAGTCGAGTGTTCAATATCACGGGTTCACACTTATTTACTTGGAGAAATTCGAGTTGACTTTGTAAATTGTAACTACTTGATAGAGTAACTTTAGTAACTATGGACTGAATCTTGGAGAATTTACATCTTGTTTATTTTCTCTTCTTGCTCTTTCATTTAAATTGCGATTATACGTGGTTTAATCTCTTCTGACGCGAACATGGATGTAGTCTTACTTTGAAGGTTCAACCAGTTTTGTTGGTTGTTTTGCCACCTAAATTTTATGAACTACAAACAAAATCGATAAACATGAATACAAGACAAACAATGACCAACGGAACTTTTATTAATGATCGCCAAAGCCAAAATTGCGTTGGTAATACCATAGTTGAATAGTGTTATAATGCTAGACATGTCACAAGCATGTAAAGCAACAATATTATAAAGGGTGTCAAAATATGTCGGACCGCTTGATCCGTGTTAAACACGAGTCAAGGCTACGCGGGTCTATCTTTTCGGAAGAAAATAATGTGTTAGCAAATTCATATAGTTCGAAATTAATTTGTCGACGGATGAACACAACTTACACCTCGAAACTCGTCTTCCCATCTTGACAATAAACATTCCATTGTATGGCTGAGGATTATTGTAATATACTCATTTGTTCATGGGTTAGCTTTAACAAATGATATTGTTTGGCACGTTAAAAAAATCTAAATCAAAGTTAACAATTAATTTTAACCACACATTTTGAACGATCCATAATTTTTCAGCCACACATTCTAATAACTTTTATCAAAATCTACTAAAAATATAATTTTAATCTCTACCAAACATGGCCTAGTCAAATTAAATCGATTGCCGCTCAATTAAAAACAAATGCATATATTATAATAGATTTGGTTGGGTTGTCAGGTCCTTTTCTCCCCGAAAATTGCGGTGGGTTGAGCTCCAAAAATTGTTACAAATTTGAAATGATTGAGACCCCACCCACCCCATCCATCGTGTAGAAGCAAATGGTACATTTAATTGATATATGAGTCTTTTTTAAATTACAAATTTATCTTTCATACAAAATTCGAAATAAATATTAAGGCGTGTTTGGTTGCATTCACTTTTTATGAAAAAAATGTCAAATTTTCACTTAAATTTCCACTTTGAAGTATTTGATTGCGGTTTTTTTCATTGGATATATTTTTCAACTTTTAAAAATATGCATAATTTTTCTTATTTTTAAGGAAAACATTTTTCTTGGGGGAGTAAGTTTCTGTTTTCCTTAAAATAAGGAAAATATTTTCTTTTTCAAAAAATATTTTACCTGTCACTCAAACACACTCTTAGAGAAGACATATACGTGACAAAGGTTAAATTTTTGTGTGCTCAATTATATTCAGCCCATGTTTGAGTCACATTAAAATTTTCATTCTCATTATTCTACTCATTTTCAATCACACATTCTTCAATAAAATAATATTTTTCATTACATCAATAACTTTTCATTCTTTTTCAACCACACATTCTCCATCAATCTACTATTCCAAAATACATTCTTCCAAAATAATGTGACTCGAACACACCCTCAGTTAGACGTAGTAAATGTGCTTTAAATAAAATTGAAAGTATGTCTTATTCGTAACTTTTTAAGAAGAATAATAATATATCTCATGAAATGTGTGAATAATAAATAATTAATAGTTATGAATATGCGATTAAAATTATCATTTGAAAGTTATAAAAACGGAATCATTGGTTATTTACAAAAGAAAACAAGTTGGACCGTAACCCATCCTTGATTGGTTTGATACAATATAATTATGTAGCGGCCCTATTTGAGCCAAATTATTGTAGAATGAGAATGAAAAATATAGTCATTATTGAGGTCGACATAAGAAATAGAAAATTTAAATTTAAATGTTAATGTGATGAATAACGGTTATATTTTTTATTTTAATAAGATAATAATATAAATCAAACGAGGACTTAAATGAAAAAAAAAATTGAACGTACAACTAAACGAGCTAGTTAATCAATCGATAAAAGTGTCAATCCTACTTAGGCCTAACCCATACACGTGTGTGTACGAGAGAGGTAGTTAGTGTAATAATTTCTTCGATAAGTACTAATGTCTTATCTTTATCAATTTCGCACCAAAGGGACCCATTCCCATCCACTAGGCATCATAATAGATAACAACTTTTCAGCTGTCAATTTATCAACCCGGAAACCCATGATTAAAGTACAGGAGAAACTCCACAGTTTCATTCATTTAGAATACTGCACTCTACAATTAATTCTAAGATTCAAGAAGGAAGAAACAAAACCATGTAATTATATGTTCTGTATTCAAAAGATAGTTCAAAATATAAACTCAATTCATTTTAGTTATTTAACAGAGATTGTAAGCATATTTTCCTTCTCCGCAACCTGCATATGTACGTACCATAGCCCGACTCAACTCGACTCGACTCTTATATTACATTCTCTTTCTACGGACAAAGCTCTATCCTTCCTCTTTCTATGATAGAATTTCAAAACGAAACTTCTTAAATGTACTTCTCTGTATATCATTGTCTTCTTTCCTACCTCTTCCTGCCTCGAGTAATGAGGAGGAGGACATGCTTCTAATGTTTCTTCTTTACCGATATGTACTTGCAGCTTTCATTTGATTTCTAAAGCAGAAAATCTGTCAGATTAAAGACGTTGCCTTCTAAAACCAGCACTCTATAAACTGTGAGCTAATGTTCTGTCCTGGATTTATATGACGGCTGAAATGCTGTTAGCTACTGCAGATGCAAAGGGGCTCTCTGGGAGATTAAGTCCTTGATGGCTGCAAGATTGGAAAACTTTTAGTAAATGAAAATTTTAGTCGTCGTTCGGAACTAAGAAAATTAATCTTACACACCTTTCCTGCTCACCACAATTGGCGATTGAGTACTTGGGGTTATCAGGGCTAGCAGAGCTGTTGTTCAGAACATCAATCAGATAATTGAATCGCTCTACCGATGTAAATTTGGAATGATCTGCCCAAGTTTGATTTAGTAATCATAAAATAAATAATAAAAAATGCATGCCGTGCCTGAAACATATAATCGTTATCTATTCACTAGTTTTGTGCTCGTAAAAGAAAAGACAAAAAAATACCTTCAGGTGGTTTTAACTCGTCCATGGAATAACCCATGCAAGACTGATTTGCCAGATGTTTGCGTGCTAGCTGGAGCTGTGAAAGACGCATTGTCTCAAGTTCAAGGGCCTGTTCATGCTCTTCCATAAGCTGCCTTCTGATCATCCTAGGGGATTCCCATCCTGTCATTGATAGAAGAAATTAATCACTTATGCAAATTTATATATTAATAAGTAAAATTCTAATCTATGAAAAATTTGGGTTTGCAGCATATAACTTACTCGCTTGAAGCTCAGGGTCGATATCAAAAGGGTGCGAGTGATAATACATTGGATGCTCAAGTTTTTCTAGGTACTTCCTGCAGCCAAAAAGGATAAAAAAAATGTCAGAGAGATAGGCACAAAGACACAGAGGGAGCAGGTTATTCTTGAAACAGTAAAGCTATTGATAAATCATCCTGTTTAGGTGAAGTAACTAACCAACTGGCAACTGCTGTAGGGTTAACCCAAAATATTGAATATTGACTTCGAGCTAAGATAAATGTGATCATTCAAACATCAATGTGGACAGACAACTACAATAAATTGTTTGTATTCAGACGTGCGAGAATTCGGTAATCTGATAGGTTAACATGGGAAAATGTTCCAAGCATTAAAATATTTCTGTAACATAAGACGACAACTCTGATCAAGATTAAACACATAATAAGTATTGCCAAATGCCAGGTGCCAAAAATAACAATATAGTAATCTTAATTTGAACCAGACTACAATATTTAGTAGTTCCATCAAAGTGAAGAAATCGTGTCGTACTAGAATCACAGGCGTACAGACAAATTTCAATTGTACGCAAAACTGTCAGCATTTGTTCAAGAAAATATTGAATTCAAGTAGAAATTATACCTTTCAACAAGCTTTGACTTTTCTCTATAAGGTTTCACAAGAACACGAGCCCCACAAACATAATGTGGATTTCCCTTGGACAAAATCAACTTCACAGTGTCTGCACTCACAAAAGTTACAAATCCAAACATCCGTTTCTGCTGGCAGGGAATTCTCACATCTTGAACTGGACCGAAGGTACTAGGGAAGAGCACCAGAAAAAAATAAGAACTTCAATATGCAGAAAATTGAGGGCAAACATAAGAAGCAACTTGGAAAAACTGAAAGTTCATTACTTAAAGTAATTTGAAACGTCTTCCTCAGTAAATGAGCTCTCAGCTGGGAAAGTTAGATAAATTTGACGTGAACCACTAACAATAGGGCCAGGGTCATTCCTTTCACCCCGGCTGTCCATATACTTCGGGGCATCTTCAGCCAGTATGACTGCATGCTGCCCATGAGGCCTGCTTCATGAAAATCAGAAGAAAAACTGTTATCTAATGAAGAATATACAAATCAACAGACAACATATTCTGTAAAAGGTCCAAACTAAACCTGTCGATAAGCCGGATGCTATTTTTCAGTCGAGCAAGAAGTTTAGTTAAACTATAGCCAGCTTTACCATGTCTCTGGCTCTCAGTCAGATAACCTTCAGCCTGCAGAGTTCTTCCATATCTCTCATAGTACATCATTGGCAGAGAAGCAATTGAAACCGGATTGCCTCTTCGGGATTTCAATAACTCCGTGATTTCTAGTTCCAATTTTTCAAGGGACCCAGGCAAGAAAACTTGATCATCATTAGCAGCTTCATACGAATTAGGACCAAATATATGTGAATAGCTCTCTGCGAAAGATTCTCCATGAAAATACCTACAGTTACTGCCATGTTTACAAAAACCCTTGTTGAAATAGTGACAAGTCTTAACTGGATACTCCAGACTCGAAGAAATTCTGCTACCCCTATTACTCATATCATTAAATGCAGCCTCTGGGCAATAGAAATCACTTGGAAAACCTGAAGTGTTGGAAATGACGGGTTCTAACTGATCTTCCAAACCAGTATATTGGTTTTGGAAACCATACTCTTCGGGAATTGAATCGGCATATGGTAAAAGTTTGAAAGCAGGATTAGGCATCGGCTGCGGCGGCTGTTCAGCAGGTAATTGAGGATCCCAGTAAGAAGTTACTTTTTGAAATGCCGCACGAGATGAAAAGCGGGAAAACTGAAAAGAAGGATCCGAAATGGGGCTCGGCATGGAAGGAGAAATTGGAGGGGAAAGAACTGGCGACGAAGCAAACAGAAAAGCAGATTTTGCCTTTTGTATCAAGTTGTGGATTAAGTTGTCAGGACCTAAAGCTAACCTTATCATTTCCTGGTCAGGAAGATCTTGCAAGTAAATATATCCAATAATCTTCCTAGCAACATGTTCTGGTTCCAATTTTGAGATTCTGTCGTGCACAAGCTTTGCAGCCTCGAAAGAATCCATTTTACATCTAATAACTGCATACATATAAGAACCAAAACAGTGAATAATGGACAGTTTAGATAAATACTTCAAAAAACTAAAACTAAAACAAAACTAGCCTTAACTGTGAAAAGACATGGAAAAAAATAAATTTAATTGCTCAACTAATTTTCCTTGGTAAGTGTTTTTGCACAAGGAGACTCCAAAATTGATAGATCTCAAACACGGAGGCATAGTAACATAGAATTAGTATGCTGCTTTATCCTTAGAAAATTCTTGAACGAGGATTTCAGATTAGAAAACTCATGTCGATGGTGAAAAACATGCAAAAATAAAATAAAATTATACCATGATTTATCTAATGAATTTCTTTGAATTCATACAAATTATTAAAGGAAAAAACTACAGAGAACTCAAGTAGAACTTTTTCCGGAACAAATCACAAGAATCGAGATTGAGCAATCTATACAAAGAATTTCTTACATCCATTATCATCAGTACGAAAATAAATTACCCATATGAAAAAGTCCATGAGAAAATAACTAGTAACAGTCAGAGAGTAAACGCTTTATACAAAAGAAAATTGTATTCTTCTTGAACACAAATCGATTTAAAAGATGAAGAACCCCTTTAGAGCAACCCCAGATTTCATTATACGAAAAAAATAAAAATAAAAACACATGCAAATTCTTTACCAGCAAAACACTGTTTTAAATTTTTAAACCCAACCCATAAATAAAAGATAATCAAATAACAAAAAATCCAACATACCCTCTAAAGATCTTGAAGTAGGAGGAAGAATATGAACTGTAAATTCAACCGTAGAAGGAAGGAAAAAAAATTATTCTTGGTCTCTCTATCTATTCATCCATGTTTCTTCTCTCTAGTTTTCTCTTCACTCTCTATAATCCTCAGCATAAACAAACAGAAGCCATCTTAATCTTCCGAAGCAAAATGACAAGAAAATGATGCTTTAAGGGCACTGTGCCTCTTCACTTCAGCAGCATTTGCTAAATTAACTATAAAATTCTTTTTCTTCGAATATATAGATTTTAATATTTACAAATTCCAGGTAATTTCATGAATAAACAAAATTTCCTAGATTTACGATATTGTTGATGCCAGCTAGAAAATGGTATTACAAAATTACCCCTGGAAAATTAGCAAAATCCCATGAAATATTTAATTACATGTTATGTATATAAATAATGAATTGATATCGGAAATTCCAATGTGACCACACACGTCGGCTCCACCTAGTTTTTGTCTCTGTACAAAAGGAAATGGTCCACCTTTAATACCAATCGTTCGATCGTTTTCAAGATTTTAGATGATAGTCGTGCGATTTTTTAATTTACCTTTTCTTTCGTTTTCTATCATATTTATATAAATTTAATTAATGGGTCCCATCCCACTCAGCGGAATAATTTATTCATATCATATTGTCATTTATTATTACTTCGGTTGATGACAAAAATTATATGAACTGAAGAATAATCCTAAATTCAAGTTTGTAGTTACAAAACGACGATGGAAATAATTTTTTTATTTTTATTTTTATCTCGTCATGTTTGATTGTTTTCAGGTCAAAGTAATGAGACAAATACTGCATTTGATTAATGTTAAATTTTGGCATTGTCCATGGTCGGGGCTAAATAAAATAAATGATAATAATATAAAAATAGAGGGGCATTATGGGTAATTGGGGATGCCATTTATCATGAAGGACCGTTTCAAGCGGCAAAAGTGCAGGAATGGAAATGAAAGGAAATCAGTTTGTTTATTCTTCTCTCTTTTTTTAATTTTTTTTAATATAATAGATAATGGAATTTGAAAAGGTAAAATAATCTGGTTTTAGATATTTTATTGAAATAACATATCGATAGGGTAGTTTGGATCTGCATTGGAACCGGGCTATGAGTTATCAAAATCCCCACATTTTCTGCTTAAATTGCTTCTTTTTTTTTATTTTTTTTTTTATCATTTTTCACTAAATGAGGTTAAAAAAAAAAGGAAATAGTAAAGATTATCTTAATGAGTGTTTGGTGATGATTAAAATTAAATTTTTAGTAGATTGTGATAGAAATTTTTGAAATGTGTGGTTGAAAAGCTGTAGGACTCATGAAAGATTTAGTTAATACTGATTGTTTGACTTTAATTTTGATTAAAATCTGATTTTAATTCGAACCAAACAGGGTCTTAGTCCTTTTCATATTATTTTTTGTTAAATGACATCATCAAAAAGTTAAAAGGTTAAATGGCGTAAAAGATGGAGGAAAAAATTCTTACTTTTTTACGTTAACTAACTTTGATAGATTCGATAAAACGTGTTTTATTTATTCAAGAGACAGCAGAAGTTAAGCTAATAATCTCCACTTCAACACGGTCAAGAAGCCAGTAAAACGATTTCTCGAGCGAGAGAGGTTGACTTTAATAACAAAATAGTTCACTTTATTTAGCAATTAGCATGCAAAAATATAAATATTAAATATTAGGTATTTCTTTATTATTCTTTTACCTTAGTAGAATAACAAGTTAATTAACGTTATTCTTTATTTGGTTAACAAATGGGACGGGAATCACGTGGAGACGATGATGTGTGGGGCCAAAACCTTATCTATTTGAAATTGGAAGCAAACCTAGTCACCTCTTACTGTACAATCCGATGTGTGTAAAATCTACGTATGTATATTTAAGTAGAGGAGCTGTGTCCCAGTTGTCAATTAATATATATGCGGCCGTAAGATACTCCCAACTATGAATAAAATGATTTCTATCCGTGCTGCTGCAATTTGGCCATGTGCGCAGCGCCACGGTGTCCGCGTCGAGCAAATTTTTTCAATTTTTAGTCCTTTAGTTGTACAAATTTTTCAAGTTGAATTATTTTTTTCTATTTGGCAAATGATTACATTTGGACTTCTGTAATTTGATTTATTTTTTATATTATTTGTTAAACCTCGCGCCAGATCCAAGAGTGAAATATTACTCAACTTATATATTGGTCATGGACTATTCAGACAACTTCAAACTGCTTCAACTTATTCTCTTGAATTTTTTCATCGAGCCTCGGAGTCTTGAGTCGAACACGGAGGCAAATACGAGTGGTGCATCTTCATCGAGTGGTAGGATCGATACTTTGGAATCCCTCATCAGGTCTGATACTAGAAAGTTCAACGGCTTTAGGATACCTGAGGAGGAAGAATTTCGAATGCCATCTAGTATGAAGTTCTAAACTTTGAATATGCTAATGCAACTGATTTCTTCTTGTTAAAATTTGGGGTTCTATTTTAAAATATCAACATTATTAAGAGGAGTAGTCAAATCCTTTATAAGTTGATCTATATTTTCATATTTATTCGATGTTATATTTTATCTCTTAATATGTCATTGTAAGATGGTGGCTCATTTGAGTTTAAAGGACTCTGATATCAAATTAAGATTTGAGTTTCATCTTAAAAGATCAACATCGTTAAGTTAATCTATATTTTCATCTTTATTCGATATGTGATTTTATCACTTAACATGCCCCGCAAGATGGTAGCTCGTTTGAGTAAACCAATTTTGAAATTCATGTACTCATTTTTTAAGCCATAATCGGACGAATTGCTCATTGGAGATTAATGTGCTCTAATATCCTATTAAGACTATGAGTTCTATCTTAAAATGTTAACCTTATTAAGATAAGTAACACAAATCTTTTATAAGTTGGTCTATATTTTCATTTTTATTCGATGTGAAATTTTATCCCTCAACACTTGTGGTTCAATTCCAGTTAACGATCACAACTTAGGCCTACTTCTGACCTATAAACCAAAGTTTTTATATGGAGAAGATGAGGAGAAGGGAGATGGGGGAAATGAATTTGGGGGTTATTTGGATAGTGTTTAGGGTTTATGGATAATGAGAAATTGGGGGGAAGATGAGGCGATAAGGATAAGGAGATTGGCAAAGGCTATAGAGAGGTTTGGAGAGATATATGATAGGGTAGAAAGCATGAAGAAGGGGCAATGGTGGAGCTGGAGAAGCAGATGATGCAATTTTGTGGAGAAATTTGGGGGAAATTGATTTCTTAAGAATTTGGTTTTGGTTTTGGTTTCAGAGCTCTTGGTTTGAGGTCGATTTTCGATTTTGCGAGTTGTTATTTTTTTACATTAAAATAACATGTTTTTAAAATCAAAATCATGCCCATTTAACGTTGCGCGATTTCAGATTTTTAAGTTTTATAATATTTTTAAATGTGAGTCGAATTAATTAGGTGATTTGGCACTCCGTTAGTTGCCATGCAAAAAAATCATCCTCCATGTCAGCACTAAAGTAACAGAATTTTTTAGGGTAATGTATGGACTGCAAATGATAAATGTTCGTTAAGTAAGTTGAAGCAGTAAGTAGTCCATAACCAATGTATAAGTCTAGTGATTTTTGAAACATTTCACTCCTAGATCCAATAACAAAATTACAAAGAATAATTATCTAGTCTACACTTAACTTTATTAAAAGCATTTTAATTTAGCTCATGTTTGTCTACCATTAATCCAAAAAATTGTTTGCTACAGTAAGATTTTCTACCACACATTCACCCAATAAAATATTCTACACACAAACCAATAAATTTACTTTAATTTTCAATCACACATTTTCCAAAAAATATTATTCATTACATTAATTTTCTCCTAATAATGAGAGACGGACAAACTCTTAGTATTATTGTACTTTTAACTATTGCGTCGATTAGATTATTATTATTATTTTTTTAAGAAACGAGTTTGTAATCATTATCCACCACATCACCGTACGACTTTTGGTGACTTCAAACATAAAATGGATGAATCGGGATTTCATTGCAATACCAAAGTTAGTTAATATGGGTTGTTCGAGTGACTTTATAATTACATATGCTCCACCATGTTGCGAAAATTAAATGTTCCTTTTATGATTCAATTGTACGCCACTCTGTCAAGGGAAGGACATCACAAGTCATGGCGTGATATTAGAGAATAATCTTATGGGGTGAACATCCATTCAACTTAACGCGTGTCTGGGCGCAATTAAAATTATACAAAATTGACTTTTTTGGACCGTTGTCATTCAAATTGTAGACTGACTGTGAGTAAACAAAAGTCAAAAATTGTGGGCGATTACTGTAGCAACGTTTGGAATTGTAATTATAAATGCGTCCAGACATGCCCTTAATATCCGTGGAGGCTCGTCTTGGAGATTACCCGTCTAACCAGGTAAATTGGACAAGGACGGGGGCTGGGTGTCATTGTCTCGAAGCGGGTGCGAGATGGATACAAGAAACATAATTCCTGCCCCATTTAAAGTTAATTTTAAATTTAAATTCTTTATCAAATAAAAATAAAATATTTGTCCTCATTTTTAAAAAGAACATAAGTTATTTTTAATAAATTGAAAAAAAAATAATATTTACAAACTAAATATATATAAAAAAATAAAAGTAAAAAATAAAATAAATAAAAAATGAAAAACAAATGGGGCGGGAGATTACTCTACCCCACCACGATCCCGCACCGAACCCGTCCCGTCCCACTTTAATCCAGTATGGTCGACTCATTCCATATACGTTCCGTTGTCATCCCGGTGGACAAAAGTACATAGGGGTTTAATTGAACTCATCTGTTTAAGTTTTACGAGACTGTGAATTATTTATTATTTTTAAATTAAGTAAAAAAGTTTTTCCTTCTTCTTCTTCTTCTTTTTTTTTTTTTTAAAAAAAGGGAGGGGATAAATCTTGTATGAGTCACATTAAAATTTTCATTATCATTCTTCTACTTATTTTAAACCACACGTTCTTCAATAAAATAATATTTTTCATCACATTAATAATATTTTTTTCTTTTTCAACGACACGTTTCCAAAATACGTTGTTCCAAAATAATAACGTGACTAGGGCCGTCTGTTGATCGGTTCGGTTCGGTTCTGAAGAAAATCGAATTAATCCAAAACTTTCGGGTATTTAATAAAAGTAGATATTAATATTACAGCAACACTACATAAAGTATATTCATTTCCTTCAAATTAAAATGGGCTAATGGGTTTTAAAAATGATTTGGGCTTTAAAATTAAAATTATGAAATAATCTGATTTATTTAATTAATTTGATAATTTGTTTAGAAAAAAATAATTTAATTTAATTTAATTAATTCAATATAAAAAATAAAAAAATTATTTAGTTTCGAGTTTTATTTATTTCTTTGGTTTTTGGTCTAGAATCGAGGCCCGATCCAAACTCATAGATTTTTGATTCGAGTACCCGTTCCAATATCTGAAGAGTGCTCGATTTGGTTAGGTCCTATTCGATTCGCGACTGGACATTGAATAGATACCCATTTTAGTCAGTAAACTGAACAAAGAAGGAGAAA